AGCACGACGGCGCGGAATCGAAGGTGAAATTACGGCAAACTACGCGCCTCGGCGTACTTAGACTTTTACTGATTGCAAGACATAAAGCGTAATTGCGAGACGGTCCTGGAAGAAACACATGGCGAATTCCCCCCCCCCCTATCTCTTTATCTCTCTCTCTCTCTCTCTCTTTCTTTCAACGAAGTTTTGCAACAGAATCTTTCTGGATCCGAAGAAGAGTGCCGGCCGATACGAATCCGGTTTACCGTGTCCTGTGAAAACGCGTTATGACACTCTTACTCGAGTCACCGAGTGTTGCTTCATTTTCTCCTGCTGCCAGTTGTTTGCTTCTCCTCTAACGCGATACAACGATCAACGCCGGCGATTATTTCACACTCGCGGGGACAATCTGCAGCTTTCGACACGCTCGTCCAGTCCCCCTCTCCTCCCCCCTCTTTGTCCTTCCTGCGTCGAACGTTCATTAGCGGCCGAGTCCGGTCCATTAAGATCGATTATCTCGATACATAGAAATTCACACTCTCTATTTGGATGAGGCTGCAAAACCGACGCCGCGCTCTCTCTTTCTCTCGCTTTAAATCCGATCGTTCGCCCCTCGCGTAGGTACGTACGTACGCAACAGCCTGCAGGAGCGTGCAGACCAGCTAGCTGGAACTCCGCTGATGGGCATCGGCGCGCGGTGTTGCGAAGACAAATCGCGAGTCCCGTAATTTCCGTCGATCAAGGTCGCGCGGCTCGCCACGCCACGCCACGCGTAATATACGATCCGGAATCGATCGGGCCGGGATTTTACTCGGAATCGATTTGAATGAAAGACGGGCCGCCTGGTGGCGGACGCAGCTGCTCCGCGGGCTCGGTCCAATTAGCCGCTAGACGCCCGGGAACAACCGGACGAAGAGCCGAAAGAAGTGCGCACGAAGTAGTCGAACGACGAGAGGACAGCGAGAGGAGGCTTTTAAGCCGTGGCGCAGCACGCTTGAGGGCGCTTCACACTTTATTTATCTACATCTCTGTTGCGCGGCGACGATCCGCTCAGTGCATGGGCCCCCGACTCTGGCAACCTACTTACGTATATGGCGCACCGGGGTGCAAATTATGCATGTCGCAAGTAGCCTTTGCTCGACCCGCCTGTCTTTTTATTGGCCGGAATATTTTAAGTCGCGCATCGAGTAACCCGGCCCATGTAAATGTATGGAGATTCCGAGCCGAGACGCGCCGCAGAGTCGGCGAGACCGCGGTCGCGAATATGGCGTCCATTATCGCTCTAAATTGTGGCCTCTGTGGAATCCGGGCGTCGTAGCACCTTTAACGAGATACCGGACGTAATTCTGCCGGAAATTTTCGTTCATCCTCCGTCGTTGCAATAACCTTAAAAAAAAAAAAAAAAAAAAGAAAAATGACAACCTTAAAAAAAACAAAACAAAAGAAACGTGCTCCAAGTCAGGGTGGTAAATCAGGAATTTAACCACTTAGGAAACAGCGGACCCATAAATTTGGCTCAGTCTCAAGTGCGATGAGGTCTTTCTTTCGCACCATAGGGATCACCATGTCATAACAAGTGCATACTCGAAGGATTGCACATGCAACGGGATCGTTTTCAGAAGATAATCGTTCTCAGAAGTGCCGCCCCGCTCTCATGGGCGGCGATGGGCAATTTTGGAAACCTTCCTGATTGGTCTTATCACGTCTCTCGCTCTACAACTCCTCCCTTCGAAAGGGTAATCCAACGCTCGATAAAAGAGAGGACTTTCAGTCAGTCACAGTTTTTACATATAGTTTTATAACCAGCATATACAAGTTAGTCAGTGAATCAATCAGTTAAACAGTTAAACAATTAGTCAAACAATTAGTTAAAGAAGTTACAAGAAATCATAGCAGAAGTCAAACAGTTAAGTTAACAATAAATCATGGGAGTAGCAAGATCCGTCAGAGTTTATTCATTTTCCCACATCAATGGGTGGTCCTTCGAATCCCAAGGTATACGATCGACAACAGTCGTGACTGTGTACTTAACAATCCGCACAGATCCGAACACAAAAAGGAGTTTTGCGAAGACGGAACTGTAGGAATCTTTACTCCTAATTCTCCACGGTGAGAATTCCTCCGCTTTCGCACGGTTTCGCTCCCCGAAATATCCAAAAACCTCGGCTCGCTGTTGGCCAGGAACTCGATTCGTTTCGCAACGCTTCGACGCTCGTGTGCGTTTGGCTCGGCTGGCGCGCGCCAAGAGAAGGAGAGGAGAATGTATGCGGTCAGTTGGACATTAGCGTGGCACCGGCATAAATTTGTACGCGGCCGATACACCCCTGCACCATGCACCGTCCACGGTGTTTCTGTGCCTCTTCCTGTTTCTACCGTCTCGTACGGCGCTCGATTGGCCAAGGCAGACGCATAAAGATGATTTTTTATAAACGCTCAGACGCGTTTATACCGATACAACGAAGAAGCATATACCCTGGACATTCAAATATCGCATGCTTCGTCCAGGGTCGAAGAGAACGGGGCAACATTTGAGAATTCTATTCACCCCTTTGATTATAATGACGTCATGCGTTTCTTAACGATTATTGAATTATTAATTTGTTCTCTCATCATTTTTTAAACCTTGTTTACAAATGAGGTGTTT